ACAATTGAAACTCAAAATCGATCAAAAGTAGGTCAAAATGTGGACAAAGGAAAGTGTACATGCAAACTCTTTGAAAAGTCCAAAGATAATAGGACCAGGTGTTCCGGAACGCTAAGCGTCTTCTGCTTCGTTGACGGCACCCGCCATGTAAATCTGGTCAAATTCAAGGAATGCAACATCCTCACATCGAGAAATCGGGACGTGACAATAAAACAAAAAAAGGATCACTTAGGAGCATAAAAAACATCGACCTTCGTATAACACAAAGAAATAGTGTTCAGTGTATTTCCCTATTAGATGACGATGGCGACCATAACATTCGTCCCTATTAGTCTTTATCAACCGGCATCTTTGGAAACACTGTGCTGTACGTTGGTCCATTAGCAGTCGACATTTATCACGAACGTCATGATATTCGGAACAAGTTCCTGAATACCGAATAAACTATGTAAACATCGTAGTTAGGGTTCAGTGATTTTGCTCTCAAGAAAGGGATGTTTACCATAGGAAAGTCGTCCCGTTTAGCGTAGGGCTAGGAAGTAAGCGTTTCCTGTTGGTCATGTTGTAAGTAAAGATCGTGGACAGAAACTGAAGAAGACGAGTTGGTAGTGTGCTTGATGTTAAGCTCAGCAGGGTATATACGATCGACGTGGTTAATACATGTGTTGCTATTCATAGACAGCACATCGTCAATACATCTGAATGGAAATTATTCCTCATTGTCTTGAAAGTTGCCTTCCAGTTGATAGAGAGAGTTTCTCGATGCTTAAGACCGTTCATGAAAAGCTATCTTAGCTTTGTATTATTGACAATATTTAGATCGCCAGCCGGCCTATAGTTGTATGGAGACGCGGAGCTAGAACATGCTGACAGAGGAGTTGTTCTAAGGTCATCTTACTTGTATGGGGACGCGGAGCTCGAACATGATGACAGAGGACTTGTTATAAGGTCATCTTACTTGAATGGAGACGCGGAGCTAAAACATGATGACAGAGGAGCTGTTCTATGGCCATCTTACATGTATGGGGACGCGGAGCTAGAACATGATGACAGAGGAGCTGGTTTAAGGTCATCTTACATGTATGGGGACGCGGAGCTAGAACATGAGGAAGGAGGAGCTGTTCTAAGGTCATCTTACTTGTATTGGGACGCGGAGCTAGAACATGCTGAAGGAGGGGTTGTTCTTTGGTCATCTTTCTTGTATGGAAACGCGGAGCTAGAACATGCTGAAGGAGGAGTTGTTCTTAGGTCATCTTACTTGAATCGGGACGCGGATCTAGAAAATGCTGAAGGAGGAGCTATTCTAAGGTCATCTTACTTGTAAGGGGACGCGGATCTAGAACATGCTGAAGGAGGAGTTGTTCTAAGGTCATCTTACTTGTATGGAGACGCGGAGCTAAAACATGATGACAGAGGAGCTGTTCTATGGCCATCTTACTTGTATGGGGACGCGGAGCTAGAACATGATGACAGAGGAGTTGTTCTAAGGTCATCTTACTTGTATGTGGACGCGGAGCTAGAACATGCTGAAGGAGGAGTTGTTCTAACGTCATCTTACTTGTATGTGGACCCGGAGCTAGAAAATGTTTGAGGAGGAGTTGTTCTAAGGTCATCTTACTTGTATGTGGACGCGGAGCTAGAACATGCTGAAGGAGGAGTTGTTCTAACGTCATCTTACTTGTATGTGGACCCGGAGCTAGAAAATGTTTGAGGAGGAGTTGTTCTAAGGTCATCTTACTTGTAGGGGGACGTGGAGCTAGAACATGCTGAAGGAGGAGTTGTTCTAAGGTCAACTTACTTGTATGTGGACGCGGAGCTAGAACATGCTGAAGGAGGAGTTGTTCTAAGGTCAACTTACTTGTATGTGGACGCGGAGCTAGAACATGCTGAAGGAGGAGTTGTTCTAACGTCATCTTACTTGTATGTGGACCCGGAGCTAGAAAATGTTTGAGGAGGAGTTGTTCTAAGGTCATCTTACTTGTAGGGGGACGTGGAGCTAGAACATGCTGAAGGAGGAGTTGTTCTAACGTCATCTTACTTGTATGTGGACCCGGAGCTAGAAAATGTTTGAGGAGGAGTTGTTCTAAGGTCATCTTACTTGTATGGGTACGCGGAGCTAGAGCATGCTGAAGGAGGAGCTGTTTTTTAGGTCATCTTACTTGTATGGGGACGCGGAGCTAGAACATTATGACAGATGAGCTGTTCTAAGGTCATCTTACTTGTACGGGGACGCGGATCTAGAACATGCTGAAGGAGGAGTTGTTCTAAGGCCATCTTACTTGTATGGGGACGCGGAGCTAGAACATGGTGAAGGAGGAGTTGTTCTACGGTCATCTTAATTTTAGGGGACGCGGAGCTAGAACATGCTGAAGGTGGTGTTGTTCTAATGTCATCTTACTTGTATGGGGACGCGGAGCTAGAACATGCTGAAGGAGGAGTTGTTCTGAGGTCATCCTTCTTGTACGGGGACGCGGAGCTAGAACATGCTGAATGAGGAGTTGTTCTAAGGTCATCTTACTTGTATGGGGACGCGGAGCTAGAACATGCTGAAGGAGGAGTTGTTCTAAGGTCATCCTTCTTGTATGGGGACGCGGAGCTAGAACATGCTGAATGAGGAGTTGTTCTAAGGTCATCTTACTGGTATTGGGACACGGAGCTAGAACATGCTGCAGGAGGAGTTGTTCTGAGGTCATCCTTTTTGTACGGGGACGCGGAGCTAGAACATGCTGAAGGAGGAGTTGTTCTAAGGTCATCTTACTTGTAACGGGACGCGGAGCTAGAACATGCTGAAGGAGGAGTTGTTCTAAGGTCATCTTTCTTGTATGGGGACGCGGAGCTAGAACATGCTGAAGGAGGAGTTGTTCTAAGGTCATCTTACATGTACGGGGACGCGGAGCTAGAACATGTTGAAGGAGGAGCTGTTTTTAGGTCATCTTACTTGTATGGGGACACGGAGGTAGAACATGATGACAGAGGAGCTGTTCTAAGGTCATCTTACTTGTATGAGGACGCGGAGCTAGAACATGCTGAAGGAGGAGTTGTTCTGACGTCATCTTACTTGTATGGGGACGCGGAGCTAGAACATGATGACAGAGGAGCTGTTCGAAGGTCATCTTACTTGTATGGGGACGCGGAGCCAGAACATGCTGAAGGAGGAGCTGATTTAAGGTCATCTTACTTGTATGGGGACGCGGAGCTAGAACATGCTGAAGGAGGAGTTGTTCTAAGGTCAACCTTCTTGTATGGGGACGCAGAGCTAGAACATCCTGAAGGATGAGTGGTTCTAAGGTCATCTTACTTGTATGGGGACGCGGAGCTAGAACCTGCTGAAGGGGGAGTTGTTCTAATGTCATTTTACTTGTATGGGGACGCGGAGCTAGAACATGATGACAGAGTACTTGTTATAAGGTCATCTTACTTGAATGGAGACGCGGAGCTAGAACATGCTGAAGGAGGTGTTGTTCTAAGGTCATCTTACTTCATCTGTGGTAGTGTTTACCACTAAAAAGGTTATCTTACTTGAATGGAGACGCGGAGCTAAAACATGCTGACAGAGGAGCTGTTCTATGGCCATCTTACTTGTATGGGGACGCGGAGCTAGAACCTGCTGAAGGGGGAGTTGTTCTAATGTCATTTTACTTGTATGGGGACGCGGAGCTAGAACATGTTGAAGGAGGAGTTGTTCTAAGGTCATCTTACTGGTATTGGGACACGGAGCTAGAACATGCTGCAGGAGGAGTTGTTCTGAGGTCATCCTTCTTGTACGGGGACGCGGAGCTAGAACATGCTGAAGGTGGTGTTGTTCTAAGGTCATCGTACTTCATCTGTGGTAGTGTTTACCACTAAAAAGGTTATCTTACTTGAATGGAGACGCGGAGCTAGAACATGCTGAAGGAGGTGTTGTTCTAAGGTCATCTTACTTCATCTGTGGTAGTGTTTACCACTAAAAAGGTTATCTTACTTGAATGGAGACGCGGAGCTAAAACATGATGACAGAGGAGCTGTTCTATGGCCATCTTACATGTATGGGGACGCGGAGCTAGAACATGCTGAATGAGGTGTTGTTCTAAGGTCATCTTGCTTGTATGGGGACGCGGAGCTAGAACCTGCTGAAGGGGGAGTTGTTCTAATGTCATTTTACTTGTATGGGGACGCGGAGCTAGAACATGGTTAATGAGGAGCTGTTCTAAGGTCATCTTACTTTTATGGGGACGCGGAGCCAGAACATGCTGAAGGAGGAGTTGTTCTAACGTCATCTTACTTGTATGGGGACGCGGAGCTAGAACCTGCTGAAGGGGGAGTTGTTCTAATGTCATTTTACTTGTATGGGGACGCGGAGCTAGAACATGCTGAAGGTGGTGTTGTTCTAAGGTCATCTTACTTCATCTGTGGTAGTGTTTACCACTAAAAATATGGAAAAGCTTATTGGTTGCCATTTTGTGATATGAAGGTCGATGTTTTTATTGTAATCGTTCGTGTGCCGGGCGGTTCTCAGTGTTAGGAGGTGACTTTACTTGGTTAACGTCGATGAAGCAGACGATGCTAACCCTTTCGGAACCCTTTGTCTTATTTTCCCAGTTTTTTGAGAGTCTCAATGTAAATCTTTCCTGTGTTTCATGTTTTCTATTTTAATCGATTTTAAGTTCAAACTACGGTTTTATTAACACTATGACGATGTGGTATATTTTGCTTTGTGTAAAACTTAAAATTGATTAATTTTAGAACAATCACGAATCAAGTTTATCAATTACCCTCATTGGCTTGGATGGAAAGGAATCTTAATTTGGAAGGAGACTTGAGCACCCGGAGAAAACCCACATGGTCGGGCCAAGTACTTTTTCATGTCCGATCGGTATGTCGTACTCCGGCCGTCTTGGTGAACGACGTGAGCGCTACCCACTGTCTCTTCCACCACCCAACCACCCATATAGGTAGGATATACTTGTAGCTTGTTTTATTATCAGGTATTGTTAATAATAATAATAACACATAAACAGAAAGTACATTATTTTATTAACGTTTTTCTCTCATTTATGAAGATAGACATTAAAGTGAGGTATTAAGTGTTTGTTTGAGACACGCCATTAAATCTGGTGGTATAAGGTGTTCGCTGACGGGAACTGGACACTGTTACAACCACTGCGGGTACAACAGTAGTCACATGTCAGATTCTGGCCGCTAGGTCCACTTCCGGATATTATCAAACTCATACACTCTGGAGAGGTCAGTGTGTTTCCTATCCACCGGCTGTAACACTCTCCCTCCGTCACACAACTTCAAAAAATATAAACAGTAACTTATGTAAGACGTTCGCTCTAATTTCATCTGAAACTCCGTATTGCACATAATCTATTGACAGTCCCTGTAAAGTTCATAATGACTACCTCGTACAGAACATATTGTATTGACTATTCCTGTAAAGTGTATGATGAATACCTCGTACAGTACATAATGTATTGACAATCCCTGTAAAGTGTATGATGACTGCCTCGTACAGTACATAATGTATTGACAATCCCTGTATAGTCTAGGGTGAATACCCCGTACAGTACATACTCTATTGACTATCCCTGTATAAACTATAGTCTAGGTTGAATACCCCTTAGAGTACATAATCTATTGTTGTACCTACTTACTCGTCACACAAAAAATTGGATTGAAAAATCTGTATACACTGAAGCTTCTTACCTTCTTGTCTGATTCCTAGAACCATCAGCGCTGTCTACGATAGAACTCATGCAGTAGTCCTTACCGAGCGGACAGTGCGAGGGACTGAGGTTTCCATTACACGCAGTTCCGGTGCACGTGATACACATCTGGGATGCTGGGTAAGACAACACAATAATGAGTAATTACCACCCAGAGGGATATACATGTATGTTATCTTGTCAAACCCATTTTTTTTTTAATTCATAGAGATAGTTATCATACGTGAATTGTCACAATAGGTTTCTGTGAAATAAGTAAATGAACATCTAATAGTCGACGTCACGTCCGCTAATCAGATGGCATGAAAGGGAAGTCCACACATTTTTGTGAATTGAAGAAAAACAAATCGCATGTTGATTTGGATATGTTTTATTACTTAAAGATTGTTAAACAAAGAAATCTTATGAAAAGTTGTGTGTTGTATACGTCGGTAATATTTCTGAATTAAAGTGCCTGTTGTACCATCAAGGCAGTTTGGTGTGTGTTGTGATGTAACTGAAGACAACATGACTTTGGTGAGTAACAGTATCACAAAAGACAGTCGATATTGACAGAGTAATCAGTATTATTACCCAATAGTCTATATAAATTATAATTAGTCATTTTTGACTGTTTCTGGCTAGCGGCCTCAGGCAAACAGTTCCCCAGGGCTTCCCCCTACCTCGGGATGATAGTTTTGACTGTTCCCCAAATAGCCATGAAACAATTGTATACTGTAACTTTGTACAGAGATATATTTGATGTTGTCGCCTCTGTTAGACTCCTGTCAAAACTATATGTAAAGCAATTTTTTAGCAGCTGTAGAGCATGTTGATAGTTGTAGTCGAAGTTTAGGACGAGAACATTTGTCCCAAAGATTGTTTTGTTGGAGCTGTAGATCTAGGGATGCCGACGTCGAGAGCGAGTTAACGTTGTAAGAAGCGGTCCCTGTCTAGTCAAAGTTAGGGCGAGTACAGGTCAGAAGGGACAGTCCCCGTGTTACAGAGTGCTGTGTTACAGCACCACGAGCACCGGAAGTCGTCCAGATACAGGTTACTTGGGTCGTAGTCCCTACATCTTCTGTCATCAGACGACCTGTTCGCTCCTCGGCAATCTGTTTCTGTAGCACAACTGCGAAAACAAGTACACTATGATAATATATTGTAGATACAAATTTCTATTTGTCAAAATTAATTGCCTAGCTTGGCATGAATCGGGAATCTATCTGGAATATTTTTGCAAATATACATTGCTATTTTAAAAGCACAGTTTTCGGCAGTATCGCTACAAATACATGGAATAAATAACTATATTCAATGAAGTCGGGATTTTCCTTTATTCACACTACGGTCACTAATGTAAAGATGATGTAAATAGCCCCCATTCATTCCACATGAACATAAGAAAATCGCACTTCCAATCTTAATATTTACTTGTTATTTATTACTTTCTTACACCATAAGAGCTAAGCTCGAGACCATCTTTGAAATTTGAGATTTTAAAGATTATTTAGTTTTGTCACATTGAATACGATCTTCTTGGTCGTTTATTATGTTATGCTTTATAGTTACGTAGTATCCAAGCTTTAATGAAAATAGAGCACGACATTTCTGTCTGAGCTGATGTAGTATCTTTGACAACGGTTAAGTCTGAAACATTATCAGAAAGTAAAGAAAGGGGATTACATAAAACAACTGACCTCCTGAATACGGACCGAGTGCCGTCATCGTTGTTGTGGATGGTCGTCACACAGAACTGCTGGTCTACACTTTGACACTGGTGAGCTATGTATCTATCCTCACAGATAAACGGGGGTCCATTACACAGGTTACACGACGCTGGGGACAGAAAACAGCCACATATACACAGAGCCAAGAATAGGACAGAAAACAGACACTTATACACAAAGCCAAGTATAGGACAGAAAACAGCCACATATACACAAAGCCAAGTATAGGACAAAAACAGCCACATATACAAAAAGCCAAGTATAGGACAGAAAACAGCCACATATACACAAAGCCAGCTATAGGACAGAAAACAGCCACAAATACACAAAGCCAAGTATAGGACACGAAACAGCCACATATGCACAAAGCCAAGCAAAGGACAGAAAACAGCCACATATACACAAAGCCAAGTATAGGACACGAAACAGCCACATATACACAAAGCCAAGAATAGGACAGAAAACAGTCACATATTCACAAAGCCAAGTATAGGACAGAAAACAGCCACATATACACAAAGCCAAGTATAGGACAGAAAACAGCCACATGCACACAAAGCCAAGTATAGGACAGAAAAAGGCCACACATACACAAAGCCAAGTATACACAAAGCCAAGTATAGGACAGAAAACAGCCACATATACACAAAGCCAAGTATACACAAAGCCAAGTATAGGACAGAAAACAGCCACATATACACAAAGCCAAGTATAGGACAGAAAACAGCCACATATACACAAAGCCAAGTATAGGACAGAAAACAGCCACATATACACAAAGCCAAGTATAGGACAGAAAACAGCCACATATACACAAAGCCAAGTATAGGACAGAAAACAGCCACATATACACAAAGCCAAGTATAGGACAGAAAACAGCCACATATACACAAAGCCAAGTATAGGACAGAAAACAGCCACATATACACAAAGCCAAGTATAGGACAGAAAACAGCCACATATACACAAAGCCAAGTATAGGACAGAAAACAGCCACATATACACAAAGCCAAGTATAGGACAGAAAACAGCCACATATACACAAAGCCAAGTATAGGACAGAAAACAGCCACATATACACAAAGCCAAGTATAGGACAGAAAACAGCCACATATACACAAAGCCAAGTATAGGACAGAAAACAGCCACATATACACAAAGCCAAGTATAGGACAGAAAACAGCCACATATACACAAAGCCAAGTATAGGACAGAAAACAGCCACATATACACAAAGCCAAGTATAGGACAGAAAACAGCCACATATACACAAAGCCAAGTATAGGACAGAAAACAGCCACATATACACAAAGCCAAGTATAGGACAGAAAACAGCCACATATACACAAAGCCAAGTATAGGACAGAAAACAGCCACATATACACAAAGCCAAGTATAGGACAGAAAACAGCCACATATACACAAAGCCAAGTATAGGACAGAAAACAGCCACATATACACAAAGCCAAGTATAGGACAGAAAACAGCCACATATACACAAAGCCAAGTATAGGACAGAAAACAGCCACATATACACAAAGCCAAGTATAGGACAGAAAACAGCCACATATACACAAAGCCAAGTATAGGACAGAAAACAGCCACATATACACAAAGCCAAGTATAGGACAGAAAACAGCCACATATACACAAAGCCAAGTATAGGACAGAAAACAGCCACATATACACAAAGCCAAGTATAGGACAGAAAACAGCCACATATACACAAAGCCAAGTATAGGACAGAAAACAGCCACATATACACAAAGCCAAGTATAGGACAGAAAACAGCCACATATACACAAAGCCAAGTATAGGACAGAAAACAGCCACATATACACAAAGCCAAGTATAGGACAGAAAACAGCCACATATACACAAAGCCAAGTATAGGACAGAAAACAGCCACATATACACAAAGCCAAGTATAGGACAGAAAACAGCCACATATACACAAAGCCAAGTATAGGACAGAAAACAGCCACATATACACAAAGCCAAGTATAGGACAGAAAACAGCCACATATACACAAAGCCAAGTATAGGACAGAAAACAGCCACATATACACAAAGCCAAGTATAGGACAGAAAACAGCCACATATACACAAAGCCAAGTATAGGACAGAAAACAGCCACATATACACAAAGCCAAGTATAGGACAGAAAACAGCCACATATACACAAAGCCAAGTATAGGACAGAAAACAGCCACATATACACAAAGCCAAGTATAGGACAGAAAACAGCCACATATACACAAAGCCAAGTATAGGACAGAAAACAGCCACATATACACAAAGCCAAGTATAGGACAGAAAACAGCCACATATACACAAAGCCAAGTATAGGACAGAAAACAGCCACATATACACAAAGCCAAGTATAGGACAGAAAACAGCCACATATACACAAAGCCAAGTATAGGACAGAAAACAGCCACATATACACAAAGCCAAGTATAGGACAGAAAACAGCCACATATACACAAAGCCAAGTATAGGACAGAAGACAGCCACATATACACAAAGCCAAGTATAGGACAGATAACAGCCACATATACACAAAGCCAAGTATACACAAAGCCAAGTATTGAACAGAAAACAGCCACATATACACAAAGTCAAGTATAGGACAGAAAACAGCCACATATACACAAAGCCAAGTATCCACAAAGCCTAGTATTGAACAGAAAACAGCCACATATACACAAAGTCAAGTATAGGACAGAAAACAGCCACATATACACAAAGCCAAGTAAAGGATAGAAAACAGCCACATATACACAAAGCCAAGTATAGGACAGAAAATAGCCACATATACACATAGCCAAGTATAGGACAGAAAACAGCAACATATACACAAAGCCAAGTATAGGACAAAAAACAGCCACAAATACACAAAGCCAAGTATAGGATAGTGATACATATCGCCAAATACAGGATTGAAACAGATATAGCAAAGTAAAGGATTGAAATAGATTTAGCAAATTATAGGATTGAAATACAAAATGCGAAGTTAAGGATTGAAATAGATATAGCAAAATAAAGGATTAAAATACAAATAACCAAGAATAGGATTGAAATACAAATAGCCAAGTTAAGGATTGAAATACAAAAAGCCAAGTTAAGGATTGAAAAAATGTGGACAGTTAACAGCGGCATGTAGAAAGTCAGGTCAGGATGAGAAAATAATCGACTTAAGTGTATCACAACAAATATACTTACTGGGTCGTGTAATAATAGACTTTAGTTATCAAAACAAATATACTTACTGGGTCGTGTAATAATAGACTTTAGTGTATCACAACAAATATACTTACTGGGTCGTGTAGGTTTTGGCGTCGGTTGCGATACTGTAGTAGTTGTAGATGGAGTGAGTGTAGTACTCGGTGCAGCCTCCGTTGTGGTACCTGATGTTGGAGGCGTTGTAGATGGAGTGAGTGTAGTACTCGGTGCAGCCTCCGTTGTGGTACCTGATGTTGGAGGCGTTACTATTGAGGTCGTAATGGCGGTACGTACTGTCGACGAAGCTACTGTTGACGTCATAGGCGATGACATAGGTGACGTGGTGACTGTCAATATGTAAACTAGCGATTAACCATCAGCTCTTCATCATCATTTCCATCAACTCAGATGTATTGGTAATACGGACAATTGTTTTCACCANACTATTGAGGTCGTAATGGCGGTACGTACTGTCGACGAAGCTACTGTTGACGTCATAGGCGATGACATAGGTGACGTGGTGACTGTCAATATGTAAACTAGCGATTAACCATCAGCTCTTCATCATCATTTCCATCAACTCAGATGTATTGGTAATACGGACAATTGTTTTCACCACCGGATATGGACGGAATGAACAACAGTATGGTTGTGATATTCTTCACATCAACATTAACGCTGGCTGATCGGACACAGTGATAGATTTGTATGTGATGTAATGTATCACAATAATCCAGTGTCCAGTTCAGTTTTAACGATGGAAAAAAAGCGAAAGGAATATATTGAAATGTTTCTATCAACATGTTGGCAGCTTCAATATTGAAAGAAATTGAAAAAGTTTTTGACCTCATACATGTTGACGAGAAAGCTCTAGCAGGCTTTGATTATATGGACAAGAAATTCAAGAAAATATTACCTCATGTCATGATTCTGTGTTTTATTTAACAAATTTAAATTGACAAATAGATAAAGTTAATGATACCAATAAATACACACGAATATATCTTGAAAGCTGTCTTTGATTTTTTTCCAGATAAAAACTCAAGCAGCGATAAAGAGATTGCGGTTGCAAGAGTTTTCTTTCGAAAAATATCATCTGTTGATGTAATATATATGCCTTAGTCTTTAATGTAGAGAACTCTTAAAAAGGAAAAGGTTAAATCGCTGAATCGTTGAATACAAAAAAGATATATTGAAATACTATGTAACATCCAATTAAAGCCATACTTTTTAACTACAAAACTAAGTAGTTTAATATCGTTCAATAACTAATGCAGTGCTTAAAATATAGATACTAATCATTAATGTATCTTCAAAGGGAAACAAACTTGTATTTAATTTGTTTAAATGTAGATGCGTCCTCTGCACTGTTTCTGTATTTAGATTGTGGGGAGAATGTGATAATCATGGTGTTGGTTACATAACCTTTTGTACCTTTTGTATTGCTTCACAGCCTCAAGAACTTGAGGTGTTTACTTACTCATTTTGAAATTTTGCCAAAACTAGTACAAGAGATGTCGATGGTGAGCAGTTTTACACAGATATTACATAAACAGTACGTGATATTCCGATAGATTGAAGACAATGATTACAAACAACATTTGACATTAACTCTGATGTTGTATAAAATTTATTCTCAAAATATACTAACCATTACAATAAAAATAAAATTAATATTTCTAAACAAACGATGTTCTTTAACCTTGCAACATCACATGCTTTGGCCATGTGACGTACTATAAGGACGTATTGTGACGTCAATGTTTGCCGACGTAGAAGTCGCCCGCAGGCTTGATGTTAGTGTTACAGTGTGACGTCGTGCAGCAGTAGTGACAGGTGCCCCGAAGGACGGAGTTACCGTCGTAGTCGAGACAGAGGCTCTGGTCGGAGGACTGAAGTAGCCACAAAGACCGGCAAACAGTTTCCGTGACACACCTTTAACACACAGAGGCAAAGAAGACTCAAAAGTTACCAGGCGCGTATAGTATGCAACAAACACAGGGACAAAAACAGAGGTAGCAAGGTGTGTATCACATACAACAAACACAAATGCAGATGTTACAAGGTAAGTGTAACATGCAACATACATAGGAACACAAATGCAGAAGTTACAAGGCGTGTATTACATGCAACATACACAGGATAAAATAACAAAGTTACATGGCGTGTATTACATGCGAAAAGACTTGAACGTAGCTAGCCGCGTTAATTATACAACGGACACATGTGCAAAAGGCTCAGAGGTTACAAGGTTAAATATACAAAGGACACACGTGCAGAAGGGTCAGAGGTTACAAGGTTAAGTATACAAAGCACACACGTGCAGAAGGCTCAGAGGTTACAAGGGTAAATATACAAAGGACACACGTGCAGAAGGCTGAGAGGTTACAACGTTAAATATACAAAGGACACACGTGCAGAAGGCTCAGAGTTTACAAGGTTAAATATACAAAGGACACACGTGCAGAAGGGTCAGAGGTTACAAGGTTAAGTATACAAAGCACACACGTGCAGAAGGCTCAGAGGTTACAAGGTTAAATATACAAAGGACACCCGTGCAGAAGGCTCAGAGGTTACAAGGGTAAATATACAAAGGACACACGTGCAGAAGGCTCAGAGGTTACAAGGGTAAATATACAAAGGACACACGTGCAGAAGGCTCAGAGTTTACAAGGTTAAATATACAAAGGACACCCGTGCAGAAGGCTCAGAGGTTACAAGGCTAAATATACAAAGGACACACGTGCAGAAGGCTCAGAGTTTACAAGGTTAAATATACAAAGGACACGCGTGCAGAAGGCTCAGAGGTTACAAGGTGAAGTATACAAAGGACACACGTGCAGAAGGGTCAGAGGTTACAAGGTTAAGTATACAAAGGACACACGTGCAGAAGGGTCAGAGGTTACAAGGTTAAGTATACAAAGGACACACGTGCAGAAGGGTCAGAGGTTACAAGGTTAAGTATACAAAGCACACACGTGCAGAAGGCTCAGAGGTTACAAGGTTAAATATACGAAGGACACACGTGCAGAAGGCTCAGAGTTTACAAGGTTAAATATACAAAGGACACACGTGCAGAAGGCTCAGAGGTTACAAGGCTCATAAAACATACATGTATCAGATGACGTAAATACATTGAATCAAAGTGTATTTCAATTTGCCTTTTGAAATTTTTAACCAGTATCATTAAACATATAGATAATACATTTAATTATGACAGATTTAGGTCAATATTAGATAATGATATTATTATAATGAAAGGTAAGCAACAGAGAAGCATTTAATATGCATTAAAACAACAGATTTGTCTGCCTTTTGAAGGTAACACACGGTATCATTTGTCAGTAACATCATTATCTTGTTTTCGTAGGTAAGAGACATGTAAGTAACATAATCGTGTACCTCTTGAAGACTTGTAGGTTGCCATTACTGTCGCCCTCTACTGAAGTCAAACAGTAATTATGACCAGGCGCGCAAGGCCGGATTGCGTGGTTCGAACTTGTTTCTCGCACGAGACAAGGAATGCCAAGGTCTTCGTGGCCACACACGTGACAGCTTTGCGCTGGCGTCACTAGAACGGTAGAAACGCGCTATTGGACACAAGTAGTGTAATCCAGTGAATACCAAACATATCGTATATTTAATTAAAATATTTACCATTATGATAAACATGTCTTGTAAACGATTAACACTGCTTATGATGCTGAGGGATCCCCCCGGACATCACATACAAGCATGTCTGATTTGCTAAACCATTTTATTGTCTAACAGTTTAAGGTTTTGATGAATATCAATTGTATATACCATTGTGATATCCAAGAGATATGACACGGAGACCAAATACGCGACCCACTAATAATCCAACCTGCTCTCACGATGACGTGGTTGTTTGTACCACGTACCGTAGGCAACAAACGGGACACAGTGTACGACCTTGTGCCACTGATGTGCCGTATTAATGTATTGCTTGATACGTCTGTAGAAAAATGGGCAAGGTCAGGATACACTCATACAGATGTTGTGTATTTGTTCACCAATGAGACATAATGGTAGTCTTGGTTTCGACGTTGCAACAGTCCAACCGGATATATTGTTACGTTTGAAGGCTTTTCGGAACCCTACAGGAACACAAGGTGTCCAATTTACTTGAATATTTATTCGATTCGTTTCCTCTTGTACGAACAATAAAAGAGGATACTAACGACCTTTGGAAAGAAATAACAAAATTATCGAAACATAAGCAAAACCGTAATTCAAACACCCTTGAAAAAGTACACAGAAAAAACGACCAGGTGTTCCAGAAGGGTAGACGTGAGTCTGCTTCATCGATGTAGTTACCTGTGTTAATATATGTAAAATCCAAGGAATTTTTACATTCTCGTAAATTGCAATCAGGAACACTTCTGTCATATCAGTCCCGCTAATCTTAATATTACTTTACTAAGATAGGACTATCACAAACAAGGACAGCTTACCATTAAGCTGTATTGACGATTTCAATCTTCCAATCGCGAAATTTCCATTTCTTGAATGTAACGTCCCTGTTCCCCCACCAACAGTGTTTAACATGTCGCGTTTGATTCAATATTTGCCATCATGCTTTGAATATTACACTTTCTGCAATACTTGTCTAAATCTGACGAAACAAAGACTATGGACAGGTTTTATGTTCGCCTAATCATGTCATTTGGAAATATTTGTTTCTTTGTGTGATATGAATACCGATTAACACTGTTTATGTCCATAAGTTTTCATTTTGGTTTCGTTGTGATAACACTGGTCCCCTTGTTAAGGACGTGACATCACTTGGATCTGATCTACATTTATACCACCGGTGTCGTCAATGAAACTGGAGACATGTACGTTTCCAGAACAGATGGTATAGTTCTCTTATTTAGATTTACATGGGTCCTTGTGTAAAACTTTCCTTGGTTCATAATTTGCCGTAGTGTCAGCAGAAAGTTAAAATTGCGGTTCATTAGTAACGCTATGCTATACCCCATAGTTAAAAGCCGTTAAAAATTATAAAGCATACATTGCGGTCTCATATATGTTGTTAAATACTTACAAATAGGTGTCCAACAGTGTTACATGGTTATAAACATTGTGTAATAAATATACAATGACATCATTTTGTTTATTGATTAGGCGTCAGTTCATATAGTGGCACACTTATTTATCAGGACTATCGAAGATACCCATCCATATACTTTTACATTAACAGATTTTAAAACGGCCCGTTTTAAGGTTGAATGAATTGACGTGGCTACAACGAAGGTATATCTTATACCTACATCGTATTTGGATGTGGTTCAATGTTGCTATTGTTA